AAAATTTAAATATAAATCAGTCATAATGGACATATTTGAATATTTAGATAACCTTAGAAAATATTTACTTAATAATGAATTAACAGTTAAATTTCTTGATGACGTACCCATTGATATTTTTCGTATTTTTGATTTCTGGGATTATGACCAAATGTGGGAATTAACTGAATTACCTAAAGATAAATTCTTAGCTATAATTAAAAAATATTATGTAGATAGGCCATATTTAATTCAATTCCCGGATTATTATAGATTTCATATTTACAAAATTTAGTCTAAAAAAATTTATAATAATAGTGACATAGGTTATTATAATAATAATAGAAATAATAATTATAATAAAAGAAATTATAATGATTATAAACCTAATGAGTATTTTAAAAACAACTTTGGACTAAACTTTGTTAAAAGATATGATATTAATTATAATAAAAATTGCAATAATAATAATTTAGATATTATGAAAATTATAATTGTAAAGACTACAGAAATTATAAAACTAACAACTTTAGAGGTCATAACCGTGAATCCCATGATAAGAAAAATGTTCGTAGTAAAAATTTTAATAAATCTAATAATGAGAATTATTATGAAAATAGAAAATTAGACAATAAATATGATAAAGAAACACATTATAATAAAAGAAATTATCATTGTAATTGTAAATCTCTTAGTAACAATATTGAATTAGAACCAAATATTCAAAATGAAAGAGATTCTTATAAACTAAAAGAGATAAATCATATAATAAAATTTAAAAAATTCGTGATTATAGAAAATATAGAAATAAACATTAAAGAAAACAATAAAACAAAGATTATAGAAAAAAAATAAAATTAAAAAAACTCTTATAAATAACACTAAATGCTATAAAAAAAATTGAGACTTATGAATTACATAATATAATATGGATTTTTTTTTAAGAAAAACGCGTAATTAAAAATAAATATAAAATGATATATTATAAAAAACGTGGAATTAAAAATAGATGATATATTATGAAATCTATTATATAAGACGCAAAATTGAGAAACTTAAAACGCTATTATCTAAAACGCAAAATATATATAATATAAAAAAATAAATAAATAAAACGCGACCAAATATTTATTTTATTTCTATTCAATATTTGATAAATTTATTCTGATTAAATTATTCTTAATCAAATTCGTTATCCTTTAAATTAATTCTATTTCGTTTACTCGATGAATCTTATTCTATAACGACGTTATTCAATAATATCTACATTCTAAAATCATTCAAAATCTTCATATATATTGAATAAAAAATAATGATAATAACAATTTTAAAAAATTGATAATGATAACCACTGAGATATGAAGCTTACGATTTAAACAAGCCAACGATTAAGACGACGTATGCAATAACTTGACAATCAAAATGATAAATCATTTGGACGACAAGCTTGCTATGACAGCTCAGATGGATTGTGGGAATGCTTTTCAGAAGAGCGGGAATGTTGATCGATTGATTTTTTATTTAATTTAAATTGTTATTATAGCCTTTAACTATGTATTTTGTTTAAATTGTTTTTTTTATAATACATATATATATATACCTTATTTTATTTTTAGTATCATTTTAGTTTTAGAATAAAATTATTATAAATTAAAATCTCCACCGTTATCTTTCACCACTGTTATCATCTATATAACAAGGGTTATAAAACAATTCAAATAGTAAAAATTAATTAAGCTTTAATTGTTAAGGCTAAATTGATATTTAGACATAATGCCTGATATTTCATTTTTAACACAGAATTTGGTTATGCAAGCTGACACAGTGAAAATATAATTTATATCTATTAATTAATCTAATAACGTAACAAATTTTTCAATGTGATGTCAACCTTGCAGCGTATGAGCTCGAGATTAAGCACCTCGCAGAAGATATCTTTTACCTTAAATTTGGAGACCTATCTTGGTTACTGGCTACCTTACTACCAACAAAATCCGGTGCTCCCTCCCTACTTTCTGTTAGTGCGTTCCATAGGCGTAGCCAGGATTTTCCTAAGGGGGGGGATTAAAAAATTACTGGGGGGCCTCGCCCCCAGACTCCATGCTCGGCCACGGGGGTTACCTTAGTCTTTATATAGTCATAAAATATTTTTACAAAATAGGAGGTTAATTTTAATAAAAAAAATAACCCTGAACAAACATGAAATATATTTAATAGTTTATATATAATATAATAAATTACTTATACATTAATATAAAAGCATGGTACATAATAATTTATTCCAAACAAGTATAAGAAATTTATTTAGAAAAAGTAAGTAGGCATATAGTTGATATCCCTCTATTATATAGAATTAGTTACAAAATACTAGGTAAAATTCCACTTTTACAGACATATTTGACTGTTAGAGAATATATTACAGTTAATATTATAACAAATTTTACTAATCAATGCTCTTGATAATAAATATAGTAACAATTTGCATTAAATTATATAACGCCATCTATTTATTTTAAATAAAAAAATGATATTAAAAATTAATCTTCATATTATTCATCCCACAATGTCTTTAAAAGATATTTTCTGATGTTCTTATCAATATTTTATAGTTTTCTGTAAATATATATAATTCGCTATATTGGTAAAAATACTCGATTGTTATATGATAATCGATGAAATTAAATATACTGTAAATATACCACATATAATATTCAACTGTTTGTATTGTGCTTTAATTTTTTTTATTAATTTATGTTTTAATTAATGATTTAATTAATGATTTAATTAATGACTTAATTAATGATTTAATTAATGATTTAATTAATGATTTAATTAATGACTTAATTAATGATTTAATTAATGATTTAATTAATGATTTAATTAATGATTTAATTAATGATTTAATTAATGATTTAATTAATGATTTAATTAATGATTTAATTAATGATTTAATTAATGATTTAATTAATGATTTAATTAATGATTTAATTAATGATTTAAATAATGATTTAATTTTATCAATAGTTTTATAATTATATTTTACTTTAATTAAGATAATTAAATTAAAATTACTCACTTTATAAAAAATTATATTTGATATATTATATTATTTAGTAATTTTATGGATCTATTATTTTAATAATTATAATACATTTCACTTTTGTCTTAAGACTTATCTTTTGCTTATATTCCATTTTTTAAAAAACATTTTTGATTCACTTTTTTTATATATAAATGTTTTTTCCAAAAATGGTTAAATTATGATGCATAGTTTTTTTAAAAATATATCAACTTAATAATTCTTTCTTTCAAATTATTGTTTAAGATATATGCATACATTTTTTTGGGTCAAAGAGTGGGAGGAGGACTAAGGGTGATATTTTTTATTGGATTTCCCCTTACACCCTCCCCCCCCTAATGGCTAAGCTTATGGTGCGTTTATATACTCTCGCCTATCTTGTGTATACAATATACACTCTTAAAACATTCTGACCCTTTTTTTTGCAGACAATTGATCTTCGGAGGTCTCTTTAGTCGATCCTCCACAACGGCATAGAAGGACTAGGATAAACCTCTAGTTGACAACTTCGTTGCATATCTTAAATCGTGAAGCTAACCCGACAACAATTCTCTAATCCTCATCATTTCCGACAGGTACAAATTTCTCGAGGCTTTCCTATAGCGAAACCTTGACCAGCTCCTAAGCTATGATAGCTACGTCACGCCATCGGTCTATGACTTAATTGTGATATGGTAATACCCTATCACTGTATCCTATGTCAAATATTGGTCAACTCCATAGGCCGTCACCTGCACTGTAAGCGCTGTAGAGTCAGATTCATTAGGCATTCACAATGCAATGATACTATTGCCAGGATCTTGAAATCTGCTCATCCCGCCAACCCTCGAGGTAACTGGCCTTTACAATTCTGATGGTAAGTGGCCAGATTGTTTTACCATAATCCTTTGGAAGAGGTGGGAAATCCTAACCTGAGATTTCTCATGCATCGATCCTCTTACCTCTTCCAATAAAAATAGGGATGCTCTACTGGACGCCAAAACGAATAAACTCGCTATATATTCGTCATCGCTGTTGCCAACTAATAATTCCTACCACTAATTACTACGACTCTACCATCGTTCGGCTCTCATGCCCTGACCTTCTTTAAAGAGCTGGGAAAGCGGATTTCTGCTAGGACCGAGGATCCCAACGAGGGATTCTACCTAAAAGGTTAGCCCTAAACATACATAAGTAAAATTATCTCAACTTTATACTCTCAATGACCGAAACGCCCTGATTGAACATCCAATGCATAAGATAAACTTAACCTATTCCCAATTATAACGTTGACTCTAAAAAGAAACACGGATCCTAATCGATAAAAGGCAGCGAAAATTAATGACTATATAATTGTAATTTACTAATATTATATTTTTTCCCAATAATTGTAAATAATAAAACTTATTTTGTAATTTAATAATTATTTTTGACTTTATACTAAGCTTTTTCACATTTTTTTTAATATCAGATAAAATTTTCTTAAGTAAAATATCACTTATTTAATAAATATTTAGAGTCTCATTAATTTTTAAATAATAAATAATATATTATACTTAATGAATTTTAAAAACGTTCAGGGGGCTATCAAATAAATTTATTTTTAGTTCAGGAGGATATTAGGGAGCCATTAAAAATTTTCTTTTTGTTTCAAAAACTATTCAAATCAGGATGTTTGAGCCCCTGGGCCCCCCATGTGACGCTACTGTTAAAAACATTTAGCCCATAAATCTCTCTTAAATATATATTGATATTCTTAAAATTCCTATTTACCTCTTCAATAATTATATAAATATCATATGCTCCCATTTAGTTCAAAAACCAAATTTTACTGAGATATGAATTTAGTATATTACTAACAAGGTTAAAGAGAAACCATCCTATTTTTTTTATATCAAAAACATTCCTTTACACTAGTCATTATGGCTTCAAAATGGCTTGTGATTATTGTTTCAATATTTTTTTTACAACTTGGAATATCAAAATTTCTTTTTTTCTTATGTTGTTTATGTCTATTTCTGTTGGGGTATGAATATTATAGTTATTATATAGTTTATAATGTTTCATAGAGTAATATTATATCTCTATAATTATGTGATAAATTTTAAAATGGATCACATACGAGCCAGATTTATTGATGGTGCACTTGTATACCCTTCAAAATGTTTAAATTCAATCAAACCATATTTTATATATGAAAATTATGAATATTATGATAACATTGATCAAAATATAAAATTCAAAGGTGGGCAACACATAAACCTTAAAGTAGGCAGATACATTTAATTTGATAATGTTTATTTATTTAATCATCATTATATATATTTTTTAAGGACAAACATTTAACCTTTCATGCTACTGAAAATCATATACAAAAAAAAGTTATATCAGGAATTACACATATAGATGATCTTATAAATCAAGTAACAAGTTATGTATTCATGGTTTAATTATAATTAATATTTAGATTATTCATTATATAATAAGAGATTATATTGAAATTTGGTTTTATTACATATCAGATGATCTTTATTTTATTAATGAAATTCAACAATGTATGAGCTATGCTTTAGCAAAAATATGCCAGCAGTTATTTAATAATGATATACTTATTATTAGCTAAAAAAATTTTAGATTGAAATGCATTAATTTTACCCCATACATAACTAAAAATTTGGTAGAAGATTTTGTTAATCACATCAAAATTTATAAACATACAATACGAAAGCTTTTGAAAATACAAAGAAACAATACTATTACAAAAATTAATGAAAACTTAAATATACCCAGCAATAACCCTATAGTGGATTACAATAATTATAAATATCATGAGGATGACCATAACACACAGATTCCGAATGGATCAATTAAAACAAATATATCAAAATTAAAATCAAAAGAGATAAACAGAATGAAATACCCACCTACTTCCATACCTCACTATATATGTGACATGTATAATGATGGTAAAAATATTTAACAATAAAACTGTTTTATTTATTTATAATTTTATGGTTAGTTTTTCTAGAATTTTATATTTTAGAGCCCTGCATTGAGCCTTTCATTTCAGATAGCTAATCATAGGAGTAAAAACTGTCCAACCAATTTGAGAATTTTGATTTCAAAGATCCTTGCCTTATCAAATCCAAAATTTATTTTAGAAATATGTAGGTCCAAGACTTATACAAAAAATATTTCAATGAACTCAAAAAAATTATAAGTATGAAGGATGATAAACAATTTTATAATTATTCTTTCAAATAATATTCATAACAACAAAAAATTACAATTTACTGAGGTCCAAGTCTTGGTTCAATATAAATCCAACCTAATCAAGTAGAAAAGGTCTCTCTAAGTCTGACCAACTCAATTTATATTGGATTGGACTTGGGTTGATAATGCAGGGCTTTTGTATATTTTTAATTGAGTTGTTTTAAATGTGCAATATATACTATAATTTTATAAGAAAATTGCCTAAAAATGTTTAATTAAATATAACTAGAACAAATATTGCAGATCCCACCCCCCCATCACCCCTCTCCAGTTTATTATGATTAAAATAAAAGAAACGACTTTCACAGGACTGTAAATAACTGCCACTATATCAGATCTGAGATTTTGGGAATGGGAGAGATTAACAACTGTCATTATTACCAGGGTATCTGGGACACGGGGACCGGTTTTCATTAGGGATTTGGTTATATCAATAGAACATAGACTAAATAAAAAAGAAAGAAGAAAACGGTGTGACTAATTTGTATTTTAATTTCACTTTAATTACCGTTTTGATGAATGCATCGGACAACAACAAAATTCATTAATTTAAGTAACCGTTAAAATTGATAGCTAGGAGGAAATCCTATGAGGAGGTTCTTCCCCTTGCTATTTTGAAGTAAAAGGAAATAACTCAAAACGATGATAAAATTGTAAGGAGCAAAGGTTAACCAATTCCCAGACTAATGGACTAGGATGGCTCCTAGTACCTGAAAGGGGATATAGAATCCTTATTTGTTGAATGTTTTTTAAAAAAATTTAATCCAATTATGGAAATGTATTCTAACATATATAGAGTATCTACCCGCTGAATGTCAGACAAAATTTTTTTTAATTTATTATATGAAAAATCCATGTAAAAGATCAATACAAATTAGGAGCAGTTATAAGGTTTATGGAATTGTTTGAAATCCACTTTTAGTAATCTTTATATGTAGAAATGCAATTCTTGTTAAATAAGATTTTTAATATTTAAAAATCGCCTTAGTATTTTGTATTTTTAATTTTTATTTAATTTTATGGAATCTTTATTGAATAAATTCTACATAAAGATTTGTCCTTATATAACCGAAATAAATTATATAAGCAATTTTCTATATTAAGAAAAACATAAAAATCCGTTTATTAAGTCGTTCAAAGTGATTATTTTGTTTTTATTATTAAGTTATAAAAAAAGCAAAAAATAATTGCTAAAAATATAATGGAGAATAGTGTTGGGTGGGACATAAAATAATATAAGAAAATTTTTTATAAAAAGAGGTAATATTTATAAATACTTGTTTAATACTTCTATTTAGAAATGGAAATTTCCCGGGAAAATGATATTTAAAGAATATTTTTCTGGAAAAATGGGGAAAACGGGAAAATTAAAAAAATATATATGAGAAATTCTTGCTAAAATAAGACTTATTTTATGTTATCATGAATAAGAAAACGATAATAACACCATAAATAAATAACTTTATTTAATTTGTTACAAATATTACATTTTATATTAAAATGGATTAGAAAAAATAAAAATTCACCCGATATCAAATATCATTAACAATTAGTATTAGTTATCACTCCTGAATCGGATTTACCTTATAAATATAAATAACTTTGTTCCTAAGATGGTAATATGTATACTTCTAGATTACTATGAAATTTACCACATACTTTGACATGTGCTGACATTTTCATAGGATTCAAGAATAAGATTACAATTACATTAGAGGTTGCCCCGGGCTGAACCAGCCCGTCGAAAGTTTCGGTTGGAGTTTTCAGCCTGGCCCATAATTATTTTTGCTCGGCCCGTAAAATATATTTTATTGAAAGTTGTCCTACAAGGCCTGAGATAATTTTTTATGAATGAAGACGAAAACTTGTCTAATTATCAGCTTTAAAAATAGTTTTAAAACTTTGGCCCGGCCCAATAATCTTATATTGCTATGTAACCTATTTATTTTATTAATATCTCTTTCTTTTAAGAAATGAGTCCAGCAATTTGATGTATGTGTAGGCATCTATTATAAAGAAATTTTAAGTGAAATCTACGATATTTTACTTAAGTAATTTTTCAAGATTAAAAAATACATAACATTGAAATTTCATATTTAAAAAGCAATTATAAACACCCACAGGGTATATATAATTTGGGAGATTCTATAATTGTTATTATTGCATATTAAAATATATAAAATATGGGGAGATTTTCACTCGGAAAAATTTCGTATTTTCCTTAAAGTTATTCTATGGGCAAAATCTTGAATCTTATTGGAAAATTTCTCCGGAAAAATTCCTTGCCTTCACATCTCTACTTACATTAAATAAATATTTAAAAATATTCACATATCAATAAAGTAATATAAAATTTTTACAAAAAATTTATCAATATTTGGATAGGGAGTTTTATATATTATAAGTTGCCAAAATTTTGATTTTTTTTTGTAAAAAAATTAAGTTTAAATTTTACATAGTAGGGGAGACCAGGACTAGCCTGCGCAATTTTTGTCAAAAAAATCATCATAGTTCCGAAAATGATCGTATATGATTTTGCAAAATACCAATCGATATCTTAAACATTTACCTATAAAATTGTTATATTTTTAAAATTTAATCATTTTTTCTCCAAAAAAGTTTTAGTAAAAGTAATTTTTTGAACCTAAGAGCCCCAAACCCGTGACTAGTCTGATCATCGATGGGGATAGTCGAATCAACTGGTTTAGGCTTCCAAAATTTTTTTTTCTTCAGATTTTCATATATGCTTTATTTATATAATATTATATTTACAATTATAATAAATCAAATAGAAATTTTTTTTGACCCAGGACCCATGCACCCAACCCAATATTTACATACTTCTGCATTGAAATCAATCTTCAAAATTATGAAAATTTTATGGTCCTGTTTATATATACATCTTTTATTAATATTTTAACAATGTTTATTTTTGATTTTTTATTCTGCTGTTTTAATAGAAGCTGCTTCGTGAATGGGGGGTGGTAAAAATCTGGTTTTTTATTTCCCTTATAACATATAAACCATAAAAAGGTTTACTTCATGAAATTAGATATTCAACAATTTTATTTTTCTCCTCAGCATCAAATATTTTTTGTTCATTATCTTGACCTATCTTGGGCATAGTGCCAGCCATTTTATATTTCTTATAATGTTTTAAAAAATTTGTAATATACCTATTAAAATAAATAAAAAATTCACTCAAAATTTATCTAATTCTATTTTTAAATATATAACATTAATTGGATCTAAGCCAAAATAAATATCATGATAACTAAAATGCTCATATCTATTTAAATGTAACAATTTGAACCATATTATATTGTCAATTACAATAGTTATATACATATATGAAAATCTTTGCTAGATATAATTTATTTTAAATATGGATCTTATAATCAGTATATATTTATATATGGTAAATAAATGTTCATATAAGATTGATTAAATATAATTTGAATTTAATAAAATATGTCAATCACAATATTTAAATTTATATATATATCATATAAATATATATATATTACAGTATATATATATATATGAAGATTTTAGTTTGCAATATTTATTTAGTTGAAATGTAAAAAATTACATTGATTAATTTATATAATAATTATCATTTTATATATTAAATTTATAAAATTTAACCTGTAATAGATTTTACTTTTCTTGATGACATAATTTTCATACATTTTATTGCTTCTTCATAATCCTTTATGGTGAAAATTTTCCTATATGGAATTTTTATATATTTGAGTACCATAATAATATAAAAATTAATTCATTGATTGAGCAGACAAGCCACTATTCTACTAACCCCAGTGGTAGTAATATTACTAATATGATCCTAACATATGTTTAAGGCTTACATATCAATCTAAAACTTTCCAAAATATTAAAATAATTTTAACTTTCATATATAGTCCATTTTGTCATGTTTAAACTTTTATTTTTTAATACAACCTAATATTGTAAAGTGAAAATATTGTAATTTTCCTATCAAAAACATGCCATAACAAATAAAAATTAAAATAACTAAATAATATAAATTATTTTCTTCCCCAAATATGGATATCATAGAATTCTATTTCAGAATAAAATTTCAATTTATAATCTTTACTGGGTTTAAAATAAAATCCGCTGAACCAACAAGCCCCTTGCGCCATCTAGCCCTGGTCTCCCCTATATAAATAAAATTATTTGATGAAATTATACATAAAAGCTTTCTACAGAAGAATTTTTATTTAATTTATCTATATTATAAAAAAAATTAAGATTGATTGATAATGATAATAATATGTCATGGATTAAAAAATTAATAAAATTGCTATAGTAGTAGCTTTTAAAAAGTCTTGAATATAAGTTGTTGTTTGTACAAATATAAACAGAAAATATTTGAATATTATTTAATAAACTTATAATTATCATCAATAACCTTCCTTTTAGGATATCAGAAATTTATTTGGTTAATATAATATATCAGAGCATAAATCCCAATGGAATCAGCAAATTATCAGTTTATCACAATACCACACCCTCACCTGATAATATATATATATATATTAGCGGCAATGTATTATTTTTTCAACTTTAAATAATTTTTTGAGCCCTTTTTTCAAAATTTAAAAATCTGATTTTACCGGAAATGTATTCCATCATATTTGAAATATCTACCCTATAAATTTTAGGCCAT